AGTTAACTTATCTGTTGGCTGGTGTTGCGCGTGTCGGGTGGTGGCCGCGTTAGATGCATTTTTGGGTGCTTAGATAATCGGCGCCCACTAGACTCACGGGTCCGTGTCGCTTAGCTAAGCACAACGATTATCTAAGCACACAAAAAATGCATCTAACGCGGCCACCGCCCCCGCTCCACCAACACCACTGTCATTGCCATCATCGCCAGCGTCCACTACAGTACATCTGAATACCGCAAAGGGCATGCCCTCGACGTCCTTGTGTGGCCAACTGCGTGGCACCTTGTACACTTGCTTGGAGCCCGACGGGGCTGCACTGCCAGGACCTTGGCCTCAACTACCTCGAACTGGCTGGGCTCCCGCTTAGTACTTGATCTTGGGAGTGAGCTTTGGGTCCGAATTGGCTCAATGCGCTGGCGAGGCTCAAGGAGTAGTTGCGGAGCTCCCTCGCGCTTTAGATGTCAGTGCGAATGGAAGTGGTTGAGAAGAAGAGGCTCGCCTTGACGAGCATCTAATACGTGTAAGCATGGGAGCCCATATACTCGAGAGAAAGTGCCTGTACAATTCGGGGATGGAGGGGGGTCCCTCTTCGCGAGTAACCTCCGTTGCTCCTCAATTTTCCTTAATGCCTCATGCGACACCCATCCTTGTACAGCTCTGTATAAAGTCCCTGAGAGCTCAAGAGGTGTTCGGGTCTGTTGCTTCGCCTGGGTTGACTGCAACTCGGAGAGTTGGTTGAGGAGGGCGAGGCGAATCGCTTTCCAGGCTTCAAAAAAGTCGAATGTCGATCTCTTCAAGTACGACTTGAGAAGCGCATGAATCCCCTCAACTCGCGAGGTAGCTGTATTGCCAAAATGAGTCGACTGGTCGACCCAAGCGCGTACGAGCTTCTCCTTAAACGGAATAAGCCACGTAGCCTTAATGTACCCGACTTCCTTAGAGTGCTCGGGAATATACTTTTGCTGGAACTCGGAAAGGCGTCTGGTATACTCTTCCTCGGTGGGCGAGTCGATAATCGAGTGCCAAGAGCTGTAGAACTCCTTCCACTTCTCGGCCTCCGAGAATGATGGCTGGCATCGGGCGAGGACTGCCTTATTTGCGTGCCAGAGGCAGAGGAGCACTGCAGCAGAAGGGAAGAGCGTGGAAGCTGCATTGATAAGTGCAAGGCAGCGGTCTGTAAGAATGATAGACGGGAGAGCAGTGTTGCATTGCTCGTAAAGCGACCTCAAGCGCTCAAGCGCCCATATATAGTCTTCTTCTGTCTCGCCGCTAAGAAATACAAACGCGATACAGAAAGACCGCTGAGTCGCGTCGACACCGATCATATCGAGGAGAGGCATACCGTACTTGTTCGTCTTGTACGTGCAGTCGAGAAGGAGGAGGTCAGGGTATGCTCGAAGATAGCTAAGAGAGTCGGGATGCGCAAAAAGGACTGCTGTAACTCGGCCATCGGGTGCGAACTGAATGCGACTCCAAAAGCCCTCCTTGTCGAGTCGATTGGCTAGCGCATGAATTGCACTCTGACCTTCGCATGCATCTCGACGTACATCTGCAACCCGGTTGTAGATGTCTTGCCTTGTAGCTAGCGAGCCACTCTGCCGTACGAGTGTCTGGATCTCTTTTGGCGAGATACCAGCTTCAGAAAAGCTTGCAAGCTGTGATGTCCCTCCAGAGAGTTGCCGATGAACTGGATGGGCGGATGGGTGCTGGCTTGGCTCATGGTTATGTGCGGCAAAGCGTTGATCAGAACGATGCTATAGAGCCCAGCCGCCGTCTGTCGTCTCTTTTGCTATAACTGAAAAAGGGCAATTCGTCTTCCGAGTTGTCGTTCTTCTCTGACGCTCCCCGCCGCATGGAGGATCACCAGATCGATCGCATGCGTAGATGACAGTTGAGGTGCCATTTTTCTCTTTCGTCGACCTTAGAGTCGTAAAAGCGTAGCCTCTCGGCTTCGCCCACGCATTGATTGACTCGAATAAGGCTTGTCGAGACTCGAAATAGCGTTCGGGAGGAAGGCAGTCGCCTGGGAAGGTGGCCATAGTGATGGCGCTGGCTGTGGTGCGGGCGCGGAAAAATGGCCGCGTTAGATGCATTTTTTGAGTGCTTAGATAATCGTTGGGCTTAGCTAAGCGACACGGACCCGTGAGTCTAGTGGGCGCCTCATCATGTCCAGTGCTTAGGTAAGCACGACTCTGAGAACAAAAGACGCACCATGTTCAAGAGCTCCCCAAGAACTGATACACGGCGCCAACATTCCCCTCAGTATCCTCAAAATACCTGTATAGACCCGACTTCCCCTCCTTGATGGGCTCCTGACTCCCAACCATCTTTCCGCCGGCCTGCTCAATTACCGTGGCAATCTTGTCCACGTCCTCAACCAGCCAGAACACACAGGTACCACCGGGGCCGGCGGCGGGCGCGCCGGGAATCGCCTTTGCAGGCTGGTGCAGGAGCCCGCCACTGAGCGAAACATCGGGATTGAAGTCGAAGAGGCGGGTCTTGGTTTGGTCAGACTGGCCGTCGCTGGCGGGGACGTCTCGATAGGTCCAGTTGAAGACGGTCGCGTAGAATTGTTCGGCTGTGAGGGGCTTGTTAGCACGCAGCATTGAGAATGATCAATAGATCAAGGAAGCTTGGCACACATACCCCGAGACACGTCCTTGGCTGATATGCCCAGCCAAACCGGGGAGCCAAACTTGGGGGGCTTCCAGTTAGACATGGTTGGCCGAAACTCGGAGACTCGCGCTATGGATCGTTTGATTGTGTTGCTGTGGCCTCAAAAAATGAGTCAACGAGATTAACAGGGGGGTTCGGGGGTCTTGAAATCAGCGACAGCAGGAAAGAAGGCTCATCAAGATGTGGGTGAGGTGGCCTCGTATTCGGTTTGATACTGCAACAAAGCTGTGCTCCAATCAGGGTTTGGTGATCTTGCAACCCCTCACCGAATCTGATGGAAGTTGGCCCTCGTCTTTGTCTGGATGCTTCAATGTGGCTTGCATTGCATGAAACCTCGCTAGCGCGTTCCTGGAAGCAAGTTTGCAAGAATAAATGGACGACAAGGCATGTCTCTTGCACGGTGAAATGCACGTCCAAGTCACGAGTTCACGTGCAACCGAGTTTTTGGGCGGTGATTTTGGCTTGTCACCAGTCACGCATTTCACAGAGGTCAAACCGCCAGTTCCGCCTTGGCATTTTCTAGATGGTTGGATTGATTAGGCCTTCTGCTGTTGATTGTACCTGCACATTGCCTAACTCAACACTACTAATACCACATCGTTATGCTAGTTGCTAATATTAATAACGTACATGATAAGCGAACGTCCCAGACAAGCGAACGTCCCACAAAAACACATCTGCACAACAAATTTCAACATGATTCAACCAACACTGACAAAAATGATTGAAATTACTCGGAATGGTCTTCCTCGGGCACTTGTGCAACTCCTTGACAGGTGCGTGCATTATGGCCAGGCTCGCCGCATCTGCCACAACGCCGCGTGCGCGTCTCGATCCTCGGCTTCCGACCACTGCCCGCCTGTGTTTCCGCCCGTATCTGCACCTCAACATCTCTCTGGGCTTGCAAATCCTGTCCATCCTGCACAGTAAGC